GTTATAGAGAAAATTCGTTATAAAGAGAGTCATTTTATATATAAATTTTTCTAACTTTAATTCGTTAAACGTAATACAAATTTTTAATTATTAAATTCGATATAGTAAGGGTTTTTTTATATTTAAAAATCTGTCTGACACTGAAAATCCGTTATATTGTAAAATTCGTTATGTCAAAATTTGTTGTAGAAGAGTTGACTGTAGTTATAAGTCAGGCAAGAATTAGAAGCTGATGATTAGACAAATTATGAGAAATTTATTAAGAAAAATTAAGACTTATATAAATATAAAGCTCTGAATAATTTAGATTAATCTGAAAATTTTCAGTTTAGATTGACTTTGAATTATTTTGGATTATAAAAAAATATCAATTTGAAACTTTTCAGTTTAATTCAGATTTTTTTTTAGATTATAAATCTAATCTGAACTGAAAAAAATCTAAATTGAACTAAAAATTTTAGATTAATCTGAAATTTTAGATGATTTGTTTCAAATAAATAATAAGAAAATTGCTTATTTAGAATAATAATATCAATTATTCTAAATTTATTATTTGTTTGAAATGATAATATCAATTGTTTTAAATAAACAATTCTTTTATTATTCATTTGAAATAACAATTTCAATTGTTTTAAATGAACAATTTTTATCATTTATTTAGAACGATAATATCAATCATTTCAAATAAATGATTCTTTATCATTTATTTAAAATGATAATATCAATTATTCTAAATAAATAATGTTTTTATTGTTTATTTAAAAATAATAATTTCAATTATTTTAAATGAATGATTTTCTTATCATTAATTTTAGAATTATAATTTAATCATTTATTTAGAATGATAATTTCAATTCTTTTAAATGAACAATTTTTTTATCATTTATTTAGAATGATAATTTAATCATTCTAATTAAACGATTTCTTATCATTTATTCAAAATGATAATTTTAATCATTCTTAATAATTGAATTTTTATCATTTGTTTAGAATAATAATTTCAATCATTATAAATAAATAATTATTTATTGTTCATTAGAATAATATTATCATTTCAAATGAAAGATATTATTATTATTTATTTAGAACATTATTATCATTTTAAATAAATGATATTATTATCATTTTAAATAAATAGTTTTTTTATTGTTTATTTAAAATAATGTTTTTATTATTCTAAATGAACAATTTTCTTATTATTTATTTGAAATAATAATTTAATCATTCTAATCAAATGATTTCTTTATCATTCTTTTGAAACAATTTCTTATTGTTCATTTAGAATGTTATTATCATTTCAAATAAACAATTCTTTTATCATTCTAAACAAATAATTTTCTTATTGTTTATCTAAAACATTCTTATTATCATTCTCAATGAACAATTTTCTTATCATTTACCTGAAACGATTAATATACAGTCTCTGGCAAAAAGAATGGCAGAAAGTTTTTTTTAAATAATAAAGTTTTTAATAAATAACTTTCAAAATTTTTTTTATTCTCAAATGCTTTTGATTAAGAAATTATATACTCAAAAAATTAAAATATAAAAAGTATTCTCCTTTTCTGTCAATCTGGATTTAAATACAAGTTAAAATACTAAAAAATTAGAAAGTTAGCCTTTTTTTCATATTAATTTAACTTTATGCTTTCTATTTTCTACTTTCTTAGTTAGAATATATTATTTCTATTGTAGAATATTTAGCTGAACATTTTTTTATTAGTGAGTGAAGCTCATTAACATAGTAAACTTTTTTGTAATCTTAATTTTAATGATCAAACACTCAAATTTGACTTTATTTCACAATTGCAAAAATTTTATTCATATTAAAATATACATTGTAGGCTTCAAACAATACACATAAAATTTGGACTAGTAATACATATAAAATACTATGTAATTATTTATACAAATCCTTTAAAAAAAGTTAATTATATAGTAAAAGATTGCATCACCATTCTTTTTATCGGAGACTGTAATCATTTCAAACAAACAATTTTCTTATCATTCATCTGAAACGATCATATTATTATTCTAATTGAACAATTTTCTTATCATTCATTTTAGAATGAACCATCTAAAATTTTGGATTAATCTGAAATTTTCAATTCAATTCAGATTTTTTCTGATTTATGGTTCAGTTCAGTTTCAGATTGGCCTATAATCCAGACTGAATTGAACTGTTTAGAGCATTATGTAAACATTAACATTAAGAATACCAAAGAAACAAAAAAGTTTATGATAATATTATAAAATTAAGTGAATCTTACAAAAAAAAAATGTTAAAACATTTCTTAATTCACATATTTTCTGTTTTAAAGTAATCTTAGTACTAATTTCAAATTATTATTAATTTAGAAAAGTAAGAAGGGTTGATTAAAACAAATAAAAAAATAAATAATTTACCACATTCTTTACCTCTTATTAATAGTATTTAACAAATCAAGAATAAAAAAATTAAAGTTATTGAGAATAAAAGAAACTAACTGAATTCAAAATTTGTTTAAAAGAATTAAGGAAAGAAAAAGAGATTTAAAGTTTCAAAATTTAACAAATATTAATATTTAGTTTATTTATTTAAGTTTGTTAAAATTTTTTTTTTTTTAAAAATAAAAAATAAAAAAAAAAATTATCCCTTAATTAAAAAAAACTGAAATAAAAAATATAATTTTAAAATTAAAAAAATTTACAGTATACAATATATTAATAAAATCAAAGAAAGTTAAACACCTTTACTAATTTTATCTATTATATGATTGCAAGGAAATACTTAAATTTGAGATTTTATAATAGTTTTGAATTAATTAAAAAAAGTTCTATAAAATTTTGTTTATTAAATTAGTAAAAAAAAACTATCAAAAATATTTTTATTTTATAAGCTATATAATGAAAATGAAAAAGAAGAGAAAAAATTTGAAATTATTGATATAGACAATGATAATTAGCGTTAGATATAAAATTTTGGCTTATTTTGATGGGGTGCTTACGCAACTCGTGTAACAATTCCTTTATATAAAAATTCGGACATTTTTTTTTTTTTTTGTTTCGGCAACATATCTAATATATTGTGTCTTAGATCGTGATGGTTGGATTAACTTCTGCAGGCATAGTATAGTCATTAAAACTAATCTTTGTCGAATCTATGTTAATCTTTTTTGTTGACTTTCAATTATTTTTTAATACTTGAATTCAAAAAGGTGGACTTATTGCATTACTTGACGAGTCAGAAGAAGAACTTAAAATTTACGCACTTCAAAAGTTAAATCCTCTTGTTGATCAATTCTGGACCGAAATTTCTGACGCTGTCTCTAAAATGTAAGCGTTTTCTGAAACCTTTTATGGTTTCAAGCGTGTACTTCTGAGCATTTTGCATGATTTTATTTGCTTTACGCTGTTTGATTCTCATCGATGCATCTTTAATCCGAAGTATGAGCAATCATAATAGAAAAAAAATAAATTCACATACTAAGCCTCTTTTATTTTAAATTAGTGAAATTCTTTATGAGGATGAATATTTTCCTCAAAGACAATTGTCTGCTCTTGTGGCATCTAAAGTTAGTAGTTTGTGGTGTATTTTTCGTGTTTCTATAAATAATTTTAGACGATATCGTTAATTTATAAAAATAAATTCTAGGTTTATTATCATCTCGGAGAATTTGATGATTCTTTGTCATTTGCATTAGGAGCAGGAGAGTTATTTGACGCGTCTTGTAAATCAGAATACGTTGAGACTATTATATGTAATGTTAAATGTTTCTAATTTATATTTTGAAATTATTATGAATTAACCAAATCAATCAATTATTTACATTCATATTTATTGAAACGAAATTGGTACATTATTTTAAATTGAACTTTTAGCTAAATGTATAGATAAGTATATTTCTTTACGCGTGAAAAAATATGAAGACCATACTAGCGATGTCCAAATCGATCCACGTTTACAAGATGTAGTTGAGCGTATGTTTCAAAGGTGTTATGATGACGGTGAATTTGAACAAGTATTTATTTTAAAATTTATGTTATTTTAATGTCTTAGTTTTAATTATTTTTAACTTTTAATTTTTGTTATTGTATATTCCTATAATTACTTTTTTGTTGATTATGGTAATGTAGGCAATTGGAATTGCTTTAGAAGCTCGTCGTTCTGATATTATTGAACAAGCAATATCCCGAGGTCCTGCCCCAGAGCTCTTGGCTTATGTATTGGAAGTGAGCATGACATTAGTACTAAATTTAGATTTTAGGAATGAGGTATTATCAATATACAATTAAAAACAATTTTTTTAGTTTTCCATGTCATAATAGTTTTAAAATAAATAATTCTTTGATTTAAAGGTTTTACGTTTATTAGTGAAATTATACCAAAATCTTGAGAATCCGGATTATGTTTCTATCAGTCAATGTTTTGTTCATTTAAATAATCCCATCGAAGCAGCTAACTTGTTAAAAGATCTTGTTACAAAAGGGGATGAGGTATTACATATAATATTTGAACATAATAATTAATTATAATATTTTTCTAAGGTAACCAATATGTTTCTTAATAATATATAGTATTACTTGTTAATGGCGTATCAAATCGCTTTCGACCTCGAAGATAATGCTACGCAAGAATTTCTCCAAAAAGTTGTATCAGATTTACCAGCCGCCAATACTAGCATTCATGAAAAGCCAGACATTGAAGCAATGGAAACTGATGATCAGGAATATGTAATTATATTACTATGATTTATCTTTTGAATTATTTTTTATCATATTATACTTTTATAAAATAATAATTTAAATTGGTAATTTCTAAGTCTATAAGTCCAACAGATGAGAAATACGTGAAAATCAGACGTATACTTTCAGGGGAAGAGTCAATCAAATTACACCTTGAATTTTTATATCGAAATAATCATACAGATTTGCTCATACTTAAAAATACAAAAGTATTTATTTTATTATCCTTTGTCTTTATTTACTTTTTTGGTGTCTAATTAATATTTATACATTTATAATAGAGTGCGCTTGAGTCCCGAAATTCGGTATATCATTCAGCAGTCACGTTCGCAAATGCATTTATGCACGCCGGAACAACAAGCGACGAGTTTCTTCGACAGAATTTGGAGTGGCTCTCACGTGCTACAAATTGGTCCAAATTTAGTGCAACAGCTGCCTTGGGTGTAATACACAAGGTAAGTTCGTAATTTTATGAACAATAATTTTTTTAAAAAAAGGCCATTATATAATTTTATTTGATTGAAATATTTATAATAGGGGCACCTTTCTCAAGGTCTTTCTTTACTACATCCTTATTTGCCCCAAGACGGAGTAAGTGGAAGTTCCTATTCGGAAGGTGGTTCTTTGTTTGCTCTAGGACTTATTCACGCAAATCATGGTGCTGGTGTACTTGATTATTTGAGAAATGCTTTAAAAAATACCCCAACCGAAGTTCTCCAACATGGAGCGTGTTTAGGGCTTGCAGCCGCAGGAATGGCAACGGGCGATAATGGTATGTATAATATATTCTTGCTTTATTTTTGTTTCTTTTATAAAAAATAATAACTATTAACGCAATTTGATAATATCATTTTAATAAGGCATTTATGAGGAACTTAAGGTGATTCTTTTTAGCGATAGTGCTGTTGCAGGGGAAGCTGCTGGTTTGGCTATGGGACTTGTTATGCTTGGAACCGCTTCGAAAAAGGCGATCGATGAAATGTTGCAGTACGCTCACGATACTCAACACGAAAAAATTATTAGAGGTTTGGCAATTGGAATTTCGCTTATCATGTATGGTAAAGAAGAAGCTGCTGATGTTTTGGTTGAGCTACTTACTCTAGATAAAGTAAGTAAAGCCTTTGCAATCGCTATATTTCTTTATCATATCTTCAATTTTTTTTTTTAAAAAAAAAAAACTTTCTAGGATCCAATTTTACGATATGGTGGTATCTATACGGTTGCAATGGCTTACTGCGGCACTGGAAATAACAAAGCCATTCGGCGATTGTTACATGTTGCTGTAAGTGATGTCAATGATGACGTCCGTCGTGCTGCTGTCACAGCACTTGGATTCATTCTATTTAGAACTCCCAAACAAGTTCCCCGAATTGTTCAATTATTATCTGAGAGTTATAACTCTAATGTAAGATATGGTGCCACATTAGCTTTGGGAATTTCATGCGCTGGAACTGGTTTAATGGTTTGTCTTTTCACTTTTTTATATTAAAACATTGTTCAATACTTTCATATTTTATTTGTAAATAAGGTTGTAATCCCAATTTAATAGGAAGCAATTGAACTCTTGGAGCCAATGACAAAGGATCCTGTTGATTATGTTCGGCAGGGTGCCTTCATCTCTTTAGCTATGATTTTAATACAACAAAATGATTCTATCAATCCTAAGGTTGGAATTAAATGATTTAATATTCTCGAATTATTTTAGTAAAAATACTTATTCACGTTTAAATATCGAAAAGGTATCACCGACCCGTAAATTATATGAAAAAATCATAAATGATAAACATGAAGATGCAATGGCAAAATTTGGAGCGGTTCTTGGCCAAGGCATTATTGATGCAGGTATTTATTTTGATTTCGATCTTATATCGTTGCGATTTTGATATTTTTTTTAACACCTATACTTAATTGATATAGGTGGTCGTAATGTAACGATTTCTCTGCAATCAAAATCCGGTCATTTAAATATGCCAGCTATTGTAGGAACGGCTGTATTCACACAATTTTGGTATTGGTTTCCATTAACCCATTTCTTAAGTTTGGCCTTTACTCCTACAGCTATCATTGGTTTAAATAAAGATTTAAAGGTTATTATAGAATCATTAAATTTATATAGTTCTATTGATAAATTACTAAATTTATAACGATTTTAAATTATAAAAGATTCCAAAGTTTGAATTTAAATCCAATGCAAAACCATCGCTTTTTGCATATCCTGCTACTACAAAACCACCAACTACTAGTGTTGTAGAAAAGGTATTATTCTTCTCTTTTTTAATCTTGATATACTTTAACATATCAATATACGTTAATAACATTTAATTTGTTTAAAGGTAGCGACTGCCGTACTTTCAACGACTGCGAAAGCGAAGGCAAGGGCCAAAAAATCCGAAAAGGATAAAGGAATAGATGTGGATGCAATGGATATGGTATACCACAGTAATAAAAAATTGTAAATATAGTGTTTTTTATGTATTACCTGAATAAATTAACATGATCATACCATAGGATGAAAAAAGGGAAATTGCAGAAAATATCAAAAAGGAGGAAGAAAAGGTTTGACTGAATCTTTAATCAATTTCACTTCATGATTTCTTTATTTACAAATTCCTATTTTAGGAGGATAAGAAAGGCAAAAAGAAAAAAGAAGAATCATTCGAGATCCTTGAAAACATGGCACGGGTTTTGCCAGAACAGTTGCAATACATTACATTTAAAGACAAATCACGCTACGTTCCTGTGAAACAAGTATGTCTTTATTATTGTAATTATTAATTAGTTACCGTCAGCTAAAAAAATTTTTTTGTAATTTGTAGGGTATTGTTGGCGGGATTTTAATGATGATAGATAATTCACCTGACGAGCCAGAAGAACTAATTTTACCAAGCGCACCTGTTGGTAAGTTGAATTAATTTCGAAATATAGTTGATTGAATAAGTATTGATTATCTTTTGTTTTTAGCAACCGAAGTTTCTGAAGAAGAAGAAGCTTCGCCTCCAGAACCATTCGAATACCCATTTGATGAATAAATTACCATATTTCTCTTAATAAATTAATAAAATCGATGTTTAGAGATAATTATGTAAGGAAAAAATATATAAACTTAAGATATTTATTTGTTAACTAGTGATTAAAATTTACATGATTTAGATGAAAGATTATAAAATTTAAACGAAAGATGAAAATTAAAAACCAAATTGAAAATTGTTTATGTAAATTTTTTGTTCTCGAAAGAGGGATGGCTCAGTTATATCTTACGGTTAATCGGGACTGTTAGAATTTATGACCTATATAATGTGTACACAATAAATCTCCGCAAAAAACTCTTATCGTTTTTAAACATAAAAGAAAATGGGCGTCACATGATCGTAATAAAGATGATAAATTTTATATTGAAATAATTTTTTTTATAAAACCGTGATTTGGATGGAAAAAGTGCTTCGATTCATGCATTTTTATAAATATTCTGATTTTTGACATGTATCAGTATTGTTTATTAACAAAGAACCAATTAATCCTAATATTTAATAATTTGTTGCAAGAAAGCTTTATTTTTTTTAATTGTAATGATATATACATTTTAGAATTTACTACAAGTTGTTTAAAAATATTAAATAAGAAATTTTAATAAAATCTCGTAATTAATTATTAAAATAATGTAAATTTATTTATATAAAATTATTGAAAAATAAAATAAAATTAAAGAAACTATAAAAATATATAAATTTTATTAATAAGTTAAATTAAATAAATCTATTTATATAACTTTATTATTAATATTATTAACATTACTATTATTTTATCTTTTTAAAGTTTCTAATAAAGTTATACTTATATTTATAAAAAGCTTTTAATAATATGATACTAATGATAATATTTTATTGATTAGATCAAAAGTTATTATCACTTTTACTAATGATTTATATATTAAAAATTAATAATTGCAATTATTTATTCTAAAATTAAGAGAATAAGATATTAAAGTATTAAATTATATTATTAACTTTTTTCTAAATCTATTTGCTCTTTTATAATAATATTAGGATTCTAAAATTTGAAACTTTAGATTTATGTCTTTTAAGCTATAATCTATTCAAAAACTTTGGTTTAAATAATAGTTAATATATATTTAAAATATTTTATGATAGGTTTTTCTATTGATACCATAATTTTTGTATTAAGAACAGCATTATTTAGATCGACAGCAATGAAGTTGTATCACATGATTTAATCAAAAAATTTTTTCATCTCGTGAAAATTAATTGGCCTATAAACCGTGATGATCGATCCATATAAAATTCAAACAAGCTTTAAATAATTTTGAACCTTCTTTTTATCAATCCACCTTTAATCGAAAAGGTGCGTTTTTATGAGAATATAGTAATGGTATCGCTTTGTCATAATAACAGACTTTTTCGTATTTTTTTGGGGCTAGTAATAGATGGCAGGTGGCGTAACTGTAAAGGACGTAAACCCTCATGACTTCGTTAAAGCCTATGCTGCTTATTTGAAGCGTACTGGTAAATTAGAAATACCAAAATGGGTCGACCTTGTAAAAACTGGACCATATAAAGAATTAGCACCCTATGATCCAGATTGGTTTTATGTTAGAGCTGGTATGTAATCCTTTTTTTTAAATAACGATGATCCTAAATCTTAATAAAAAAAAAAAATTTTTTTTTTTTTTCATCATTTCTTATAGCCGCTGTTGCAAGGCACGTTTATCTTCGTAATGGAGTTGGGATCGGTGCATTGAAAAAAATTCATGGAGGTCGTAAAAGGAGAGGAACTCGTCCCTCCCATCATTCCAAATCATCTGGATCTGTTGCTCGTAAGGTTCTCCAAGCTTTAGAAAAGATCAATGTCTTGGAGAAAGACCCTAAACAAGGGTGAGTATTAATTACTTTTGTAAATTGATTAAATTAATTTAAGAATAAACTAATTTGACATAATTTTAATCATTTTAGTGGACGTAGAATCACTCAAGATGGGCGACGTGATCTTGATCGTATAGCTCAAGCATGTCTCACGGTATCAGAAGAATCTCCTTAAAGAATTTCGTCAATAAGATTTATATATTTACACAAAAAATTATGTAGACCAAAATTTTTATTTTAATGAGTGCGAAAATAAATATTATTGCAACATAAAACAATTTTTCATGAAATAAACACATACAACCACAAATTACATTTTACTTAATTACGCAATTCTTTTCATGTTCCGCAGTAAAATTTGTGTCAATTTATTGGTCAGCTTTTTATCTATTTTACTGATGTATCCCAAATGTTTTTTTTTTTCCTACTCAAACATGCCTCCAAAACCTCCACCTTTCATTGTAAGTTGTGTCTTTTAAAAAAAACCTCGAATAAAACAGAATTTATATATGTGTGTTTTTTTTTTTTAGGATATAACAAAAGAAAATGTGACTTCCCTCCAGCACGTCATTAAACAAACATTAAATTGTGCTAGTTTCATAGCTTTGGATACTGAGTTTACTGGCTTAGGCGGAAAAGAAGTTAACACTAGAGCTTCGTAAGTGTTAAATCTTTCTAGAATGCTTTTCTTTCCTTATCTTTTTTTTTTTTGGTCCGTTTGTATAACTATTAAAATTTTTTATTAATTTGGAAGTATTTATACTTCTTCAATAATATAGTAATATTGAAGAGCGTTATGTTAATTTATGTAAAGTTGTTAAAACACATGCTTTAGTCGCTTTTGGTCTTACGATATTTGAAGAAGCTAAAAACAATATACAAGGAGGTTCTGAATCCTTGGAAAAGCAATATAACGTTTACAACTTCAATTTCAATTTGTTAAGCCAAGTAAATAATTTAATGATTTTCAATGATTTATTATATATTATATTTATTAACCAAAATCATTTTCTTTCTAGGTTGATCATATCATAAGTCCGCAAAGCTTACAGTTTTTATCTGATAGTGGATTTGATTTCAACAAACAGATTCGTAAAGGGATTCCATACACTCCAGGATGTGATAAGGTTCTAATCTAAATCCTTATTTTGAATTATTTTTGAAAAGTATTTTTATTAACTAAATAAAAATTATTCGCCTTTAAGTCAAACTCCAATTCCAACGATCCAAATTCTATTATGCGATCTTTATTCTCATACATTCTAACCAGAAATGTGCCGATTGTTGTTCATAATGGATTCCTCGATTTGATATATCTTTATTATTCATTTTATGCAGATTTACCTGATAAATTAAATAGTTTTATAGCAGATTTATCCGAAATGTTTTCAGGAGGTATTGTAGATACAAAATACATCGCAGATTTTGTTACAAGGGAAAAAAGTAGTTTTTTAGCATATTTATTTCGCAAGTAAGTTTTTTGTCTATTATGGTATTTATTTATATCAAAAAAATTATTCACTATCAATGAATTTTTTTAGATATGAAAGGGAGCAAGTTGATAATAAATTTTCTAACAGCAAAGAATATTTATTCTTACGAATTCAGAATTGCATCAAGAATAATCACAATGATCAGTTTTTGCAATCAAATCATTTCGAAATTTCTAAAATGGAGGAGCTATCTTCAAAACGATCAAGGGACAAAAGTTATTGTGAACAATACGCCGTAAGGAATAAAAATTTTACTTGATCATTATTATTGGCATATCACTTATGCAACTTATAAATATTACGTTCATTATATAGCTTCATGGATTTTGTAAACTAAGAATGAGATGTGGCAATTCACATGATTTAGACTTTATATTGGATGAACAAGCAAAAGAGGCTGGAAAGAAACGTAAAAAACGTAAATTAAATCAAAGTCAACCCCAAACTTCAAGAGAAATTTATCAATCAACAGAACATGTATCAGCCTCAGAACCACCAACTCTTTTACCTTCAACAAAACCGGATCAATTTGATACATATCATTCGGCGCATTTTGACGCTTATATGACGGGATTTATTTTCGCTAGACAAATTTTGAAATATAACAAATCAAAAGTAATGAATGAATATAAGAACAAATTATATCTTATCGGAAAGAATTTACCACTATTAGTCGAGAAAAGTCATTTCAGCAAAACTAGCGAAGGACATAAACAAAAAATGCTTACATTGTGATATCCTGTAGGACTTTCTTTTAATAAGTAAATTGACAATATTTTAAGATGATTATTATAAGATTTTAATCCCAGCAATACTGATTCTGTAAAATTGGTAATTTATATTCCATGTCTATTTTAGTAGAATTATGCGGATTTTTTTGCTTCAGTCACAACGGATTCTGTTACCTAGCGACAAACATACTTTTTTTTTTTTTACTAATAAAATCGACTTTTCACAAGTAAAATATGTATGCTTTAAAAACTTTATGCAAGAATTTAGTTTCTGTGGTATAGTGCCGTTGAGTTTACCGTTAATTACATCATTTTGACTCTTGATATTTCCAATTTGGTTTTCTTGGTCGTTTAATTCACCTAAGCCTAAATGAACCTTGCGTAATTTATTAATATTAGGGAACGGGGACCGTTGTTAAGTCCTGAACGATCTTAACTATAACAAATTCACATTGGTATTTGCTTTATCTAGACTTTTAGCAATTACAAAAGCCAATTATTGAGCGGGCGGACATCGGGTAATGTGTTCCTTTCTTTTGGTGGACCCAAACAATCTATCAAATCACGTGACAGAACGCTGCTTTAAGAACAGCCCGTAGCCGGATTTTATTTGCCGGGTCACATATACTTAGTAAATTGAAATGCAGAAATCAATTGAGTTAGAATTATTAATTGCTTTGACATTTCTGGGAATATTTATTTATCGTCGTTTCTTTTGTCCTTCTCAACCAAAGCATACTGGTAAGAAATTTGAAATGCTATTATTTTCCTTTGTATAATAGTAAATACATATAATGAATGGTTTCAAAATTTTCTTGGCTCGTCTTAACATATTTTCTTTCTTTATTAAAACCAAAACAGATGAAAACGAGACCCTAACGATTATTTGCCTCTTCCATCAAAACATGATCCTCGTGTAAATTACGAT